TACATGTCGACGTCTTACTTAGTTATGCCGTCTAGTTTGTAAGAAAAACTATTCTATGCTCGCTGTATAGAATCGCTTTAATCAAAACATTTTGTGAGAAGAATCACTAAAGTCTGATTATCTTGATGTTTTATCTCGGGATTCAATATTAATTAGCATTTCAATCGTTGTCTAAATGATACTTCTTAATTTGCTGATAAATGACTTTCCCATGCAATTTATGAAATTCCACGATTTTAAAAGAATATATTCAGATCCAGAATGCCTTATTCAGTTTATTCAAGACTATTCTTAGTATATGGTATACTTGTTATATCATTTATCTGGCCACTTCGCCAATGTCACATAGGTATGAGGATAATGACACAAACGGAGAGGACAAAGGGAAAAAAAGATAAGAGGCGACTCGAAAAATAACGAAGTATCCGCGAGAAGTGGAGAAAGTAAACGACCCTTGATGCTTGCGGCGGCGCTCTTTTGATTTTGATGGATCGCCCTTTTCTCATGACGTTCTCCCCAGCTTTCTTCCTTCCTTCGGCACTTCCTTCCTTCCTTTATCCCTCGCAAGCTCGCTAGTGTGAAGTAAATACTTCGTCTGACGATGATGGACGCGAAATCGTTAAAGCGTTAGATTCTTAAATCTTGAATTGACTACGAAATATGAAAAAGCTCTTTCGATCCACCATCGAAGATCAAGTCATGCATTTTTATTTTTTATCTCGGATCATTATTCATTGAGTTTGATATAATTTGCGTGTAATTTATAATAATATAATTATAGATTTAAAATAGGGAAAAGTAATTACGATGATTAGAGAAATATTTTTAAATATATATATATATATTGCCATTTTTTATATCAATAAATTATGAAAAGTGTATTCTTTTTAATTTTCTTAAAATGAAGAATATTTTATTTTTGTATTACTGAATAAAAATATTTAATACTCAATAATTGCGTTTCATGCAGATATGGATATTCACTAACTATCATTAACTGAATCCACAGATTCCTTTATAATAAGCCACGATATGATGAAATATTTCATCATCAAGGTTCAACAGCATCAAAGAAGAATAGAATTGATTTAAATAGTATGATAATTGTGTGGAAAATGGCTTTAGCGATTATTTAAATAAGTAAATTATCGGTAAAATGAGAGATATAATGTAATATGTACAATAAATGTGAAATATAGAATGTCATATAAATTTAATTAATGCAGAAGCTCTCTCATCTTTTACAAACGAATAATTCACGTATTTATTTTTTTTAACGTTTGTATATTACTACACACACACACACACACACACACACACACACACACACACACACACACACACACACACACACATTATAATTGCTGTATTTTCCACAAAACAAACGTTTTGATTGTCAGAATTAAAAGATTTTATTTAATTTTTCTCTTTAAATTATCAACAGTCTTCTTTTTATTTTCCAAATTGAGCAAAGGTTTCCAAATTGTTTGCATCAAATAAACAAAGAGGAAGAAATAAAACCGCTATTGTAACTATTTCCCAACTGTTACCAATTACGTCCCATATATACAGCTATATATACATTTACAGTAGCAAAATGAGGTGTACGATATTGAATGTTGATATTGCGATAATAGCTTATGGCTTAGATCTCATATGCAATATTGTACAGCCTCAAGTAAATACGCAGCCTATAAACCAGTCGGCATAGTCAGATCTAATTTGTTACATAACCACTCAGCTCCACCCAACACTTAATCGAACTGACAACCGAGTCAGCTGTCGCGAATTAATTTGCTTTGCAACTGTCAAGAACAGACCGATAGTTATCGTCGTTTTGGCTCGATTTATTGGATTTATTACTTAAATTATTAATAAATTTCCAGACTCTTCTATCACAAGTCTACCTTCTTTCGCGGAAGATTAAGATAATTTAACGAATTAAGTGATTACGGATTAACTAAAATATTATGAAATATACTAAAATATATAGAGTGTACGTCTGTAATATGTATAATGATCAGAATATAAGACATCGAAATTTTTAATTAACGTTAAATATCATACGCGTTATTACATATTTCGTAAATTGCATTGCTCCAGAGGGAATTCAAGAGGGAGCACAGTCACAGAGGTATTGTCGCTCCGTTGCTATTATATCGCACAGAATTCTAATAATCTCGTCGGTTGTTCCGCTTAACAAATGAACAGAGTCGTTCTCATTATCTTTAGTCGTGCAGTTTCGAGAAAATCACTTCCACGCAATTTCGTAACAATCCGAGCTGCGGTATTCAGCAGCGAACTCCCAGTATTGTTTTAATGACATTCTTTGGCGTGGAGAACTACTCGCGAGAATTGTTGAAGAGAGACATAGATCGGACGAGAGCGATCTCGAAAAGTAATGAACGAGCGTGCGTCGACGATCGTCTGGAGAGTGGCGGCCCTTTAAAGGGTTGTTGAGGCATTCTACGGTGACCACAAATATTACGGTCCAAAGGGCGGATCCGCCCTCGTGAAAGTGCAAGCCGAATTTGTGGCTGGGATTTGCTTGTCAGATCGCAGCTCTCGCGTCGGGTAGGCCGTGCGAATACCGCAAAGCAGACATTCTGTACATTCCGTAACTGTAATATTGCACTTGTTGTCTGAAGGGCCCTTCAGGATTAATTATATAGCGGAAAAAGGAAACGTATCTCCGAATGCGAAAAAAGCGTCTAAAAAATTTAAAATCGCTAATATGTAATTTAAATATTGATATTGCCATAAATTGCGAAATGCTCGATTCCAAAGTAATTTTATCTATATTTGTAAACAATTTGAAATGTTAAACAAGCCCTTTCGACAATTTAGCGTAAAAAAAAAAGAGAACAGAATTGAATTGATTTAAAATTATAATATAAGGATTGTGCATTGTGAATCTTTATGAATATTTATTTTATCCGAAATTAGATATTCATTTTTTCCGAAATAATATGTAATCATTTTTACAATAAATGCGTTTGGTAGAGAAGCAACTGGTGCGCAAATTTTTGATATTAAAGCATTATGCATGTGACATGCTGAGATTGTGCTTGTATATGAATATACTAAAAATATCATTTCAAAGTAATTACGCTCTGAGTTGTTGCATTAATTAAAGTCACGGATTATACGTGGGATAATATCATGTTTACGTGTGTATCGTAAAAATCCTTTGCAAGATTTTAATTGCACTAAAATTGCATCGCGTTGCGCACCGCAGTTTCACTGCTGAACGAGAATTAAATAACAACAATATAAATGGCTGTCGTCGCTTTATAATATCGTGATTTATCTTATGTCTGACATTTACAGGGCAATTATTATTTTCGATGTCGGGGCCGCATAATTAAAGTGTGGAGAATTCTTTTTTATGAAAAAAAACACACCAACCTCTCGATTTTGCATTAGATTTTTTTTTTCGTCGCCGATGCGGTGCTCCGTTATTTTTTGCGAGTTCGCGAAAAATTTATTTGGCGAAGTATAGTTTTAATGCAAGAGAGATGCAGTACTTCCAACGTATATGACATGTAACAGCTTTTAGCAGCGACAGATGAAGGACTGTAAGTCTGTGAAAACGCCATTTTCTAGAAAATAGAGATTAAACGCGAACCAACTCAACGATAGAATGGTATTGCTATCTCTTTGAAATCCAAAAATCGATTGGATACTTGTGTAGTACTCGTGCACATATCTCTCGTGAACATATTGCAAATATAAAGTCAATTGTCAGATTGAAGGATATAAATGTTTTATTGGTTCGTCTATCACGTCGTGATACCCGTTAAAAATGCAAAAAGGTTGAAGCCGTGGTTGGTGATTTTTATTTTGGATGAAAAGAGCCTCGGATTACTCTCATATGAATGAGAGTTGGTATCTTGATAAAGATATCAAGTGATCACACGATTTAAGTGCAAGCTCTTTTGCTGCTATTACGTACGGTTAAATGAGATAAGAAATGCAAATGATCATGAAACATGAAAGAGAGATGCATTACAGTTTATTACATTATTAGAATTGATACATCTACAATTTTAATAGAAAAATTTCTGTAGCTAGTGATTAGTATCTCTTCAAATATTTTGTGTAAAATAGAGAAGAAATGGTTGTCTTTAGAAACTATAAAAATTCTTAGAGTTCTTATCCATAAGATCTCGAAGTTTTAAGTGGTTCTCGTCAAAAACCGCTGTAGGACAGATTATCAAAGTTACGACGCATCCTACCACTCAACCGATTTTTACGTTACGCGGTGCTTATAAGACCACGTGGAGATTGATAAAAAGTTGGATAGAAACTACAGCGTAAACTTTCCTTTAGACACAAATATTTTAATTAAAAATTTCTTATACACTCTTGCATTCTTCATATTGTAAAATGAAATATGTGAAATAAATTACGAGGAATCAATAATAACACAGCGTATAAGAAAATCTTCCTCTATCCTCTCTTTCTCCGTTACATTTTTAATTGGTTTAACCAAATTTAACGCGCTTAATATATACATATTATAAAGTTTCGCAGTCGTATGGCAAAAATGTCGTCAACTCTACGCGCGGCAACTTGAAGGCTGGCTAAAGCTCCAAGTTGCGCGTGATGCAGCTGCGTAGCTTCTTTGTAAGTAGATTATGCTGCAAGCGCAAGCATGAGCTATACGCACAATCCTCTAACGTAAACTTCACGAAATGTGATATACATTCCGAATGAAATTAAATTTTCGCTTTGCTTTATCAAATTGTATATCATTTAATAATCTTTTCTTTTGTATTCTATGTTTCAAACATTTGTATTTCTTGTATTTCTATGTTTCAAACATCTCAGTGAAACCTAAGATCTTGAAATATTGGACAAATTTGGCAAAAAAAAAAAAAAAAAATCAAATCTCTTAACGAGAAAGTGAATCTTCTATTTTCTCAAAAATAAGAAAACGACGAGAATCGTGATATATACCAAGATGGCTGTATCGAAAATTGATAATGTCGACTTACTTGAGCATACAAGCCGCAATGTGAAGTTCGTTTACCAGGGCGAAGCCAAGTCGAGCTGGGTCACGATGATCCACGCTGATACAAGACTCGATTCCTCCCTCGCACTTCGGCACTTCGTAAGTCACACGCGCACATGCACGC